TGTAGGAGGTGGCACAGGGAGCAGTGGGAGGATCTGACTCAGGCTCCAGGATATTGCCAGCAGGAGTAACTTGCCCCCTTTTTTTAATTGCCAGAGGGCACGTGAGCTCATCAGAGAGGGAAACAGAGGAAGCACCCCTCAGTGGGGCGTGGTCGTGCCACAGTCCTTTCCCCCCATTTTTCTTTCCCATCAGGATTTTCGGCGTGCACATACACAGACCCGGTGTGCTTTTCAGGCTTGCCAGGGCTTGGACTCGTGCTGCAGTCAGCCATGTGGGACCCAGCACGATGCCTGACCACTGCCCTGCGGGGCTGGCCCAGCTCTGGTTTTGTTTTGTCTCTAGATACCCTCCTTGGGCCTGGACCTTTTTCAGGTCTGTGTTTAGATTGCTTGCAAATGGCTAAGTCTGAGGACAGGCCACCTCATTTCAAATTCCAGGCAGACTAAGCTGGGTCCCCTTCTTTGGGTGACCTTCTGAGCTCCTCCGCTTCCCTGTCGTGTATCTATCCCTGGTGGAAAGAGCTGGCTAGACCTGGATCTGGGGCAGGATAGGACCCTCTTCCTTCCTCCCAGGGACAGCACAGGCTGTCAGCCACCTGCAGTCCCGGCCTGAGTACCCTGTAGAGCAGGGTACTACCCTTTGGAAGGCTTTGAGGTCTGGTTGTGCCCAGCTCACTCTGAACCTTCAGAAGGACTTGGGCTGCTGGCCCAGCTTGGTCAGGAGGCTCGAGCTGCGTTGGGCTCAGTCCAGGTCCGAGTAAAGGAGGCTTGTTTCTGAAGCAGAGACCAGAAGTAGGCACACAGAGGGCTCTTTGCTTTGGAGTTGAAGCCTTTAAAGATTTGTTTTCTTTCAATATCCTGCTGCAGGAAAGAGACGCCAGAACCCAAACATTCCTGAGACATGGATTTCAGGTGGCTTTAAAGGAGCGATTTGTTTGATTTTTATCCCACCCTGTTTCTGCTCAGTGGGGTCTCGGGCATGTGTCCCTAGGGTTTGGTGGAGGGTCCACACCCTTCAAAGCTCACCCCTTCAGCCTTGTAGGTTTCCTCAGCATTAGGTCCAGCCCAAGGGCCTCAGGTCACAGCCCAGCCCCGAGCTTGGTCCTAGAGGAGGGTTTGTACACATCCACCTCAAGGAGCAGAAGTTGGGGCTGGACCATGAAGTGACATTTTGCAAGGCTAACCCACATGGGAGGTTCTGGGTTCACATGTGGTGACCTCTCTGAGTATGCGAGACGTGTGGGCCCCTGATCTGGAGCTGGCCGACGGCTAGAAGTGGAGGCAAACAATCTCTCCTGGCTACCTTGAAATTTACAGTAGGGCCAGCCCTCTGCATCCTGGTTGAGCTGCAGTCCTTTCTCCCCGTTTCTGTTCCCATCAGAATTTTGGGCACACACGCGCACAGATCCAGGAGCCAGATCCCACATGTCCAGTGTGATGGGAATACCAGCCATTGACAAACATGCTGGGCACATGTGCGTGTGTTCTTCACGTCCTGATGAAATGAAGGAAAATAGATTGTGGCATGAGAGGTGCTTTCGGGCCCCCCCACCCCCAACCTTTGGCAAGAGCACACATCCTCTGATAAAAATTTTTAATTTATACATGCACATACACATACTTTTTAGAGAGAAAGAAAGTAGTGGAGGTCACTTTTCCTTGATCTAGGTGTACTGTACAGCTGACCACACCCTCTTTCTTGAAAGTTCTCCTCACCCTTGACCTCAGAGTCCAGATGTACTCTGACCCTCCTCCTGACTCTCTGATCTCTGTCTATGCCCCTTCTGGCCTCCGACCTTGACATCGTCCAGGACCCACTGTTGGGGGCATGTCCGGTTCTGCAGGAGTCTTGCCCCCTTGCCTTTAGCAGTGCTGGGCCTGCCAGGCCTATGTCCAGGCCCTCAGGCCCTCCCAATGACCAGGCTTGTGCCTTAGTTTTCTATGATGGAATTTTTCCCTTGGAGGTTCCACCAGATGCTCAAGGTCTTTCCAAGTCCCGGGACGAAGGACCAAGTCCCTGAAGAGAGGATCACTAGTAAGTTAGATCATGCCAGGGTCTGAATCCAGGGGAGCAGGCATCTCGGGGACCCAGGCCTGACCCAAGCTTAGGGCTGGGTTAGAAAAGCCTAAAGCTGTCCCAGAGTTAACCCCAGC